TCCTCGAAGAGCTCTGGGAGAACGGTCTGCCGATCGATGTACGTATCCCCTTTCCATGCCTCTTTCTTATACTGCCAAAACTTCGCGACTGACTCGGAAGCAGACCCCGGATGAGAAATATCTCTACAAGCAATTGACAGACAAGGAGATCGATGAGTTCGGCCCCTACGAGGTTTACCACAATGGCCACCTCGTCCCCTATCCTCAGCTTGTCGAGGGCACAGAGGCCTATTACGGCCGCCTTGCTGCGTGGGCGCCTGCTCCGGCTGTTGCTGAGCCTGAGCCGGAAACCTTCACCAAAGGCAAGGCACCAACAAAGGCTCAGCCAAAGCGCAGGGCCAAGGACCAGCCAGTGGCGCCCGTCAAGCACACGCAGAGCATGCTCTCTGCCCAGCCCACCGTGGACGCCGACACCTCGGAGCAGCAGTCGAGCGAAAGCACCCCGGTCCCGGAGAATGCCAACGGCACCGCTCCCGTGGCCCCCAAGGACCGTGAGCCTGCTCTTCCGGCCTGGGTGTCGCCACCCGACGAGTATGGCTGCCGCCAGGTGAACAGGGTTCCCACAAAGCAAGAGATCAAGGACCAAAAACTCATCAACAACCGCATCATCGTGCCTCCATCGTGGGAGCTCGATCCCATCGAGATCGGCTATCGCGATTCGACCAACGATCCCACGCGTTCTGCGACCCTGGCCAAAAGAGGCAAGTACTACGGTCACAATGATACCAATACGTGGCACTACGATCCCATGCTTGCCAGACATGATGCTCGCGCTGCGGTTGAGGAAGACATGGACCAGGAAGTCGTCGAAAAGCACCAGCTGCATCCTCGTTACGGCTACTTCCTTCCTCAGAGCAAGAACGATGCCGAGTCCCCCAAGACCGATGAGATCAGGAATAAGCCTGTCGTTTACCTGACCCCCAGCGGCAAGACCCTCCACGCCTCGCGGGCATTCCAAACCATCAGCACCGAGCTGAAGAACCGAGACAAGGAGTTGCACAGGCATTGCGCCTCTCTTCTCGCAGCAGTCTGTGAGCGTGATGGCATAGATGCGGACCAGCTTGAGACGCCCGAGACGATGGATCTCAAGAAGATCCGCGCTGAGATAGAAGCGCAGCGGGAGCAGATGGCCATCATCGAATCGGCTAGACAGTCCGAGTTTGAAGAATCAGCACGTGCCACTCCCGAGCCAGCACAGTTCATCCCCAACAACGCCTCCGCAGCCAATTCGAAAGGCCTGGCCAGCCTCTGCGAGGCCGCCCTGTCAACAGAAGAGCCCAAAGTGGCTCCAACGGCGCCGCCCGAGACGGCTGCAACACGTCCCATCAGAAGGTACGATGCCATTCGCGACATGCTCATCGAGCACGCCCCTGCGGTGCAGCCACCTCCTCAGGTACCTGACACCCTGGCTCTGTCGGCTCTCGCCGACCTGTGCGCGGCAGCCCCTCTTAACCAGCCGGTTGCTGCTGCTGCTGCTGCTCCTACAGCAGCTCCCGCCATCGGGCGAGCCGCCAAGCGCTCGAGAGAGGACGACATGCTCGAGACGGAGGCGCCGCCGGAGAAGCGACACTCGCTCGCTCACATTATGGAGGATCAGCCTACTCCTCTTCGCAGGACCCATGACGAAGCACCGAGCAAGCTGCTCGGTCACCTCAGGCAGGATCCCGTATCTTCCGTGTCACTGCCACCGATTGAGGAGTCTTCTCTGCGCGGGTCCTTCCACCCTGGCGCTCTGCACCATGATGGCCCTCTTCTCATGGAAACGCCGGTTCGTGGTCGGGGGCGCCAGTCATCCAGTCACCTTATCGAACCAACGCCGATACGGTCCATCATGCACCAGGAAACGGCTCCCGCCCGCCCCATCGAGATCTCGTCCATGCGGTCATATCATGATTCACCCCAAGTCCACTATGGGGTTATCGACCCCCGATTGGACATCGACTCTAGGTTGTCCGTGCAGCCTGATCCTCATCCGATCGGCTACGGGCGACACCAACCCACCTATAGCTCCCAGCCTCGTCCACCACCGGCTTCGCGAATGCCATTCTCCAACCCTCATCTAGACCACAGGTCGCCATCCCTTCCTCCGTTACGGCCTCAACAGCAGAGCCACGCAGATAACAGCAACGGGGCTTACCCTTACGGCGGAGGTCGGCATAGCCAGGACACGCCATTTTCTCGCATGCAGTCTGGTGCACCTTCTCACGGGTCCGGGAGCTACCCGTTCCCTGGTATCAGCACCAGCCATGCCATGCCGTCGCCATACGGTACCCAAAGCTACTCCTCCTCCTACGCAAACATTGCGCCCTCTCCCACACAGCCGATGGGCGAGAGTCCTTCTATGATGCCGTTCACACTTCAGCCATTTGGTGGACCCAACTTTGACGGCAAGGGGGGAAGCGCATCATCTACGCCCAACAATGCCGGGCGATACCGAGAGCTCGCCCCGGCGCCGCTGCCCGCGCACCGACAGGGCCACGGTCAATCGCAGGAGCTCCGAACTGTCCAGTATGTTCCCGGGGACAATATCAAAGACTACACGCCCACCGAGCAGCCGCCGGCCCGCGGCCCACAGACTGTTCGATCATGGAATCAGTGGCAGCAAAAGGGGCGCCACAGCATGCCAGCCCAAGACCGGCGTGGTTCGAATTAGAGGAACGACGACGTCGGAGCGCTTCGACCGGCTCGCATTCCCCGTGCTCCGGACGAGATCACTGCAATGAAGCCCGAGTATAATGGGGAGACGACTCCCAAAACTATTATTGAAAGTATGCCGGCTAAAAATGCCGACCAAAAGAGCTCCAAACGGCGCTCGAGGAGAACAGCGCAGAGTGCCCTGAAAACTCTCAAGACGACAGCCCCCAAGATTCCGAAGAGGGCGAGCAAGGCACTCATCTCGGCTGCCATTCAGTCGGTAGAGAAAGTTGTGGGGAACGCTGCTCCAAAGACAGCCCCTCGGCCAATCATTGGGGCGGAGGCAGATGCCTCTCCGCCACGGGCAAATCGATACGGTTTGCGACCCCGAAAGCCGAGGACGATCACGGGCTGAGCGAACTGGGGTAGAGCGCGAGTATGGAGAGCGTGACCAAGAACCAAAACGATGTGGTCCGCGGCGAACCTTGACACACACACACAGCGAGGCGTTGGTTTTGACATTTTTTGTGTATCACCATGGGCGCGGCATAGGATCATTTCCCTCTCGCCCTTCGTCCCCGTATTCATGGGGACAAGGGTGCGTCCAGCATTATATTTCTTCAGCTTATCGTCCGGATATGGCATGAGGGCGGGCCTCTTCCCTTTCCCGACGGACGGATGGATACGCGAATGGTCTCCGGCGATGACAGTCTCAAGGCGGAGAACGACATGTCGACGAGACCGAAAGGCAACGTGCATTGGTGGGGGGGGCACAACTTGTGAACAACACCCCGAGGCATCGTGGCCTCTGCACATTGTTCAGTGGTTCCCCCCCTCCGCAACCCAGAAACGAAGCGGTGCGCGGGAGCTCCTCTCGCTGCACCTTGCTTTCTTCTTCTTCTTCTTCTGCTTTTCTTTTTAGTGTGATACAGGGAGTCAGAGACGGCTTTGGGTTTTTTGTGTGTTTTCTTTGCTGCATAGGCACCTCCGTGTGCAAGAGGCTGGTATGCCTGCGGAATGAAAGACGTTAAGAAAAGAAAATGACTGCATCGCCCCTTGTGACGTCATGTTGCACCTGTGACAGTTTGTTATTTTGGCCCCGACGCCCGGCGGGGACTCGAGAGAGTAAAGTCGAAGCGGGAGTTGACATTGCATGGCATGCATTCGCGGATGCGAGTCAATATGAATGAAGATGTCACAGGTATTTCACAGACCTCGCATGCTGTCGACGGAACCAAGTTACTATTATGCAGATTAGAAATCTGCCCTGCGCCCCTTTTATCTTCTTCTATCATATCCTTGATATCTTCCCGGCCTCGCCTCTCGCCTGCGCCGTGCAGCGTCATGTGACCACCTTGGTCGTCTGGCATGTCTCCCGCCCCCCTTTCAACAAGTGGCGCGTGTTTCCGGGATGCCAGTTTCGTTCGTGCCCCTTGTCGCAGACCTCTACTGTGTCACCACGGGCGCCGCGCCGACAAAGTCCATCCCATCCATCGACATGGGCATCATCATGCCCGGGTCCCCGAGCGCCACGCCACCGTTGGGCAGGGCGGCGGGCATGCTCTCAGACAGGAGGCCGCGGCCCAGGGCGCCCGGGGGGTGAAGCGGGTAGACATTTGCCTCCATGGTGTTTCCGTCAAACACGACCGTGTTCTGGATGGGCTGCTGCGTCTGGCCGAGGACGTTGATGACATCCTGCGCGAGCTGGCCGCCGAGGATGGCCGCGACGGGCGCCATCTCACCGCCCAGGCTCTGAAGGAAGCTGCGCAGCGTCTCGGAACGGAGCGTCTCGGAGAGGAGGCCCAGCTGCGCGTGCTGCGCCGTCGCCAGCTTGGTGAAGAGGCCGAGGTCCTCCTTCGTGTGCCCTGGCAGGCGCCCGCCGCTCAGCGTTTGGAACTCCCAGAGAGCGCGGAGACAGGAGAGGGCGGGGGTGACGGCGCGCTTGCGGCGGGGCGTCTGGGTGTACTCGCGGGGCAGAGATGCGACGACGTCGCTGGCGAGGTACCACGTTGAGTAGAGCTCGCGCTTGGTGACGGACTCGATGGTCTTTCCGCCTTCCTTCTTCGTCTGGACATCGACAACGCTGCGGGTGCGAGTCTCGGACCCGAGCTTGGTGGCGACGTTACTGAGTTCTCTTTGGATGACGTAATCGTGCTCGATGAGGTCGGCAAAGATGAAACCGTAGAGGCCGTGGCAGCCGGCAGCGTAGAATGCCTTGTTGTGCAGGCGAGTCGCTGTGTTGACAATGTTCAGGGTGAAGGAGTCGAGGTCCGTGGCGATGACAATGTCAAAGGCTGAAAAGTAGCTCGACCCCTTGGTCTGAACACGTTCGGCGTCGGCGTGAACAACGACGCGGGGGTTCATCTTCTGCACGGCGGGAGCGGCGGCTTGGGCGCGATTCTGGCCGACGAGCGAGTGGTCGGCGGCAAGGAAGAACTGGGAGCCGAGATCGGCCTCGGTGACAACGTCACCGTCACAGATGGTCAGGGAGCCGATGCCTGCGAGGACGAGGTTCTTGGCCACTTCGTTTGCGAGGGCCTTCATGGTGATGAGTAGGATGTTGGCGCCGCGAATCTTCTCCTGGGCCTTCATACCCCAAAGGCGAATCTGGCGGTCGTAGAGGGCGATTTCATCTAGATGGGTCAGCGCATGCTCGACAGCCGCAGGACGAGGGCAGGTGCTTCGCTTACCAGCGCTGATGGCGTTGTGCGGCATCGGGGGGATGACGCCGTTCGCTTGAAATAGGTGTTGGCTCGGGCCAAAGTGTTGTTGTGTCTGTACCAGTTGAGGCATGAACATTTCGCCAGTGGGCAGCATGCCGGGAAGAATCTCAGGTATGGCGCCTGGTGCGACTTCCTGGAGAGCCTCGGGAAGGACCTGATCCATCGCGGCGGCATGAAAGTTCTGGCTCAGGTCGACAGGGAGATCCTGCGGAGGGTTGTTGTTCATGTCTGCTGAAGGGTTCATGGTAGCGGCTGTGGTGAGATGGAAGGTGGAAGACCACGGTCCTTCGAGTGGAGAAGTCGCGGAAACGCAAGTGACTTGTCGGTCAAGGTTCGGGATGTTCGCCGATGTGAAATGGGAAAGGCCCCTATGACTCTATGCCTCCTGCAACTTCTCGGGGAGCCTAGGCTGTGATATCCGGAATACTGTTGCGCCGATTCGTTTGGTGACCCAGTGTCAGGCTGGGTGAGCTTCCACGAGGGATGAGTGAGCGTTGAGGAGCTCGGGTCAGACAGATGGCAGTTGCCTCGCTACCAATCCTCAATGATGGCCTGGTCATCGACTTGAGCGCACTTGTTGGCCTTAATAGCCCCTTGAGGGTGGAGGGAGGTGCTGGATGCTTGTGTTGGTGACTGTGATGGCGAGACGAATACGGCGAAGAAATGGTCAAGACATGGTGTCGATCGACTTGTCGCGTTTGCAGCGGAGGCCCTTCATTGGTGTCTATTGGTTTGTACCTGGACGAGCCACAGGCACGGGCCCGGCTGGGGCAGCCCATCTGGGTCAGTTGCGCTAAGCGGGGCCACCTGGCGGCTTCCGAGATACCGCTTGGCCGTGACTGGATGACGTATATGGGGGCCCGTTGTTGCTTCCCTTCCTGGAGGTCTCTTTGCAAGCACCTTCCATCTCAACAAGGAAGAGGCAGCAGAGGTACGCACCTTGCCTGCCTGCCACGTTCTCCTTGGGAAGGTGCGTTTGAGATCACGAGGCAAGCAGTGCCGAAGATGGCAGGCACAATGAGTGCCAGGACTCTTGCACGACTTCGGAGAGGGACGCGGTGGGACTCACGCACGCATGGCAGGAGGGCCTTGACAATGGCAGCATGACCTTGGCAATGGCATCGTAGCACGGCTGGTTCACATCGAAGAACGAGGCTCATCCACTTCGCTCGTCCCGAAGCAACAGGCCTCTTGCCGTGTACCTACGGCATCGACCTGCCTTCAGCATCTGAGTCGAGAACCTGCGCCTCGACCATGTCCCAATCTGCGCAGGGGTGCATCTGACACACATGGTACAGTCGTCACTAGCCCCTTCTAGCTAGACGCCGTACACGCCTACTCGCCCACGCTCGCACTTGGCCCTCCGCCCGCCATCAGTCACTCACCACCTACCTGGGTGGGTAAGTAGGTAGGTATCGGCGTCCTGAAAGTGGAGGGTGCACCTCGTTCAACTCGAGGCGCCCTGACGTCTACCGATCCCACCGCTCGTCACCGCAATCTCCCACCCTCTCTCAGGCTCCGAGTCGAGATCACGTCAAGCATCGCCCTGGCTATGCCACCACGCCCGACCGCAGACATCTCTCACACCTCATAGTCTTCCGAGAGGCACACAGCATCGGCTCGCTCTGCCCGTCCTCTCTGTCCAGCTGACCCCGCCCCGACCAAAGAATGCCGCCACCGGCTTCCGACCACTGGCAAACACGAGATTCACAAGATACCGACTTTCCACCCCTTCCCTCGGATTGACGACTACCACCGCTGAGAGCCGACTTGGCTTGGGTTCGACGGACCATCGACGCCTCGACAGCACCTCCCGGAACCACTCTCAGCCACCCCGTTGCCGACCACCTCTTCCCCCTCCTCGCACCAAATACCGTCACCGGGACCGACCGAGCCCGCTTACGAAGTCGGCAACAGGCTGCTGACAGGGCGTTTGAAGCAGAATATCACGAACTACTGAGTGACTCTGAATACTTGACCGCCCCAAACCGCCTTTACAACCCCGCCAGCGCCAGTACCGTTCGTTTCCTTGAGCACCATCGGGACATTCAGCGTAACGCAGCCCAAGAGCTCGACCCCATGGCGAACCAGGACAACTCACGAAACTACCTCTCAGACCCTTGGGCCGACGATGACGACGACCAGAGGCGCACTCGTCGTCGCATTCCCCCCATGAGGATGCACCCTCTAGGCGGACCCCAGAGCGGCAGAGGGTCGTCGAGGCTGGCCATCTCAGCCCCCGAGGATGAGGACGACGATCTCGACTCGGTGAGAGCCATGTGGAATCGCCGCCCTCAGCAGACATTTTCGCCCTCGGCCCCGTCCCATCCCTCCATGAATTCGCCCGGCCATTTGTCTCCAGTTCTACGACCGCCCGAATACGCCGACGACAGCCGTCGCCCCAAGCGACGCAAGTTAGACTCGGACAGAATCGCTCCAAGCTTCAAAGGATTCCGATACGGCCGGTATGGACAAGTCGAACCGGGCGAATTGACCATGGAAATCGTCAGCTGCGACGGCGGGCTCTTCGCCAATGAGTCCTCCTACGCATACGAAAACATCCTCAAGAATGACCCGACCGTGTATTGCACCAAGTCTAGCAAGTGCAACATTGTTCTGAGGCATCAGGGGGCAACCGTCTTCAGTCTCAAGGAGCTGGTCATCAAGGCGCCCGGGTCATGCAACTACTCGTCGCCGTAAGTGACTGACCTCGGACTGACTCCCCCATGAAGGCTAACACTGTTCGCAGTGTGCGCGAGGGAATGATCTTTGTCTCCATGAACCAGGACGATCTGCTCGCCCGAACGACTCAGTATCAGATACAGTATGCGCCCTCCCGATCTGGGCGTACCCGGGACCCGCGCGCTCTGGCGCCCATCATATCGATACGTCACAATGATGATGGTACGACCGTCACGCGGACGCGGCTGCGCACGAGGCCTCTCCATAACTATTCTGATGACGAAGAGGACAACCAAAGCACGGCGCAGATGCCGCCCGACTTTGCCACTGACCCGCCGCCGTTCAACATAACTACGGAATGCGACGAGGAAGAAAGCGATGAACCCATGACGAATATGTTCTATCGACGGCCCCCCAACCGGATCGGTTCTCTGCCTTTTGAGAGCGACAGTAGCGACGAGGGCAACCCCTTTGCGCAAGACGAGTACGGCCTCGTGGATGCGTGGTCGCCTGCGGCCCGACGGCGCGACACGCAGAACATGACACTAGCCGAAGCTGCCAACGCACACCACCAGGTAGCGCACGAGGCCAGCGCCGGGTCCAGTGACTTGATGGTGCCTCATGCCAAGTTTTTCATCGAGAAGGATAAGAGCAAGTGTACAATACGCTTCGATCCGCCCGTGTCGGGGCGGTTCATTCTATTAAAGATGTGGAGTCCACATCGTGAATCGTCGAGCAACATCGACATTCAGGCTGTGATAGCCAAGGGGTTCGCGGGGCCGAGATACTTTCCGTCGGTAGAGCTGCGGTAGGACTCGGTCAACGAGGCAATACGAAGTTTATGAGAGACCATGCATGCATAGCCGTCGGATACCAAAGTGAGCCATCTGTATGACCTTGGTGCTTGTTAGCCCGTGTTTCAACATGAGGGCATATTTAGCATTGTACACTATGGTTACATGTATTGTGATGAGCTGGTGATACATAGTACATAGAATCCTGGCCTATGACGGGATCCGAAGCTTCTCCCAGAGAAAATCCGAGGCACAGTTTGAAGGGCATGCTAGGAACGCCCCGTATGTGTGATGATGCAGACGTCAGCTTCACGCCTTGACGGCGTCCGGCTGGGGCGCCTCAGCAGCCTCACCGTCCTTGAAGACGCCCTTGAGCGCGGCGCTCGGCTCGTCAACGAGCTTGAACATGCCCCTCGGATCCCGCAGGAAGACGCCGGCCGACCGCGCGACAATCTCGTCGACAGCCATGCCCTCGAGGTCACGCAGCGTGGCGCGCATCCAGGCGACAACGGCGGCCAGGCTCCGGAGGTCGGTGTCCTCGCGGGCCTTGAACAGGTTCCGCCAGACGGCGGCGGCGAGGACCTTGTCGCTCTTCTTGGCGAGCCCCTCGTCGTAGGCGGCGATGAGGCCCCGCCACTGCATGAAGATGTCCTTGAGGTAGCGCTGGCGCAGGGCCGACGACGTCATGCCGTGGTTCAGGTGCATGACGCGCTCGCAGTCGAAGAAGAAGTTGTCGACGAACTGGGCCTGCATCGTGCGCGCCGCGTCGCGGTCCAGGCAGCGCATGCGCGCAATGATGAGGTACATGTGCAGCATGGTGACGTGGGACCACGAGCTGAACGAGGGCGACAGGTTGAAGACTTTTTTTTGTTGTCATGGATCAGCTTGCCGTGTCGTTGAAGGTAAGGGAGATTGGGGGAGAGGATCGAAGGAGGGGAACAAAAGAAAACTCACTCTGCAGCCACGGCCCGTGAGGGGTGCCGAGCTCCTCGCCGTCGTCCGTCTTGGGCACGTTGTCGGCCTTGCGAAGGTCCTCGGCGATGGTGTAGGCGGCGGGCGCGGCGCAGACCTTGTACAGCTTGTCGAGCTGGTTGCTGAGGACGTAGGGGTTCCCGCCGAGGTTGGGCTGGAACTTGCCGCGCAGGGCGCCGGCGAGGGCGCCCGAGACGGGGCCCGTCTGCTCGTCAGGGGCGGTGCCGGGGGTGCCTGGGCCGACGGACGAGGCGGGCGCTGATGGTCGCGTGGGGGCCTTGGCGGCGCGACGCCACGCGGAGCTGCTGAAGGGTCGTCGTCTCGTGGACGCAGCGGGGGAGGAGGCTGTTGATGTCGGACTCGCTGTCGTCGTCGTCGTCGTCGTCGTCGTCGTCGCTCTTGTCAGTGTCGTCAAGGCGGCTGGGTAGAAATCGGCCGTAGCGCGGAGGCTCCTGGCGAGGAGCCGAGTGTGCTGCCTGCAGCTTTGGCAGGCCATTGTTGCGGTGTGCTGGGCGTGATATGGCATATACAAGGGACTGTCGTTCGATTCAAGCTCCCGTGGCTTTCAACCTTCGAGAGACGGGGGGCGAAATGATGGTGTTGGTGGGGGTTGAAGGAGGAGAGTCGTGACCACTATTCGGCGTGTCTGAACGTCATGCATCTAAAAAAGTTCATGAACGCATCGACTTTCTGGAGCTGGAAACCCCATTTCCCAGCACATGCTAGCGCCGGCGAAACTACGGATCGAAGCGCGTGCACGGGTCACCGATGCTACTGTTGGTGCTGTGCACATGTTGTCTTGGGTGGGGGCGATCAGGGTCTTCGTGGGGGTTGCATCGCCTGAAGCGGGCGAGAGAGGCATCGAAGAGCAGTCATGTAAAGTTGGTTTTGTTGTGTTAGGTTGGTTGGTGTACAGAATAATACAGGATGATACAGAGGTTTTACATGGGATCCCTCCAAGTGCATCACTGGTACTTGGCAAATACCAAGGAAGCATTCGTGCCGCCGAATCCAAAGCTGTTCGACATGGCAACCTTGACCTCCTTTTCCTGCGTCTTGAGCGGCACATAGTTCAGTTTCGGCCCAACATTGGGGTTCTCAAGATTCAACGTTGGCGGGACGGAGGTTCTGCGTAGATTGTCAGCATACACTGCCTGCGTTTCCGCAGTGGCTGGCTGGCCGCTCACCTCCTTGACCGACAGAACAGAAAACATCGCCTCCACAGCGCCGGCCGCCCCCAGCAAGTGCCCGACAGCACCCTTCGTGCTGCTGACAGTCACCTCAGACTCGTCGGCGACGCCCTCGTCGCCCATCATGAGTGTCCGAATGGCGGACGCCTCGGCAGCGTCTCCGATCTGGGTCCCCGTGGCGTGGGCGTTGATGTAGTCAACGTCGGCCGGCCTGATGCCGGCATTCTTCAGCGCCGCCCGCATGGCCCTGAACGCGCCATGGCCGTCCTCCCGCGGCGCCGTCATGTGATGGCTATCCCCGCTGCACCCGTACCCCTTGACCTCGGCGTAGATCCGGGCCCCTCGCGCCCTCGCGTGCTCGAGTTCTTCGAGGACAAAGACGGCCGAACCCTCGGCCACGACAAAGCCGTCGCGGCCGGCATCAAAGGGACGACAGCTCGCTGCGGGGTCGGTGTTGTACCTCGTCGACAGCGACCGTGCCCTGCCGAAGCCGGCAAAGGTCAGAGGGTGGATGCAGGACTCGGTACCGCCGGCGACCATGACGTCGGCGTCCCCAAAGGCGATGAAGCGGCTGGCGTCGCCGATCGAGTGAGCCCCCGTGGTGCAAGCCGTAGTGACGGCGTGGTTGGGACCCTGAAGACCGTGCTTCATGGAGATGTGGCCGGCAGCCATGTTGATGAGAATCTTGGGCACGAACAACGGCGAGACCTTCTTGTAACCCTGGCGCCGAGTTAGCTTCAACACGTCCCGCGCAGTGGAAGAGAAAGAAGGCCATCCCAAACAGGCGGGGGATGCTCACGCCTTGGTCAAACGCCAGACTGGTGTCGTAGATCTCTTCGAGGTTGCCAATGCCGCTCCCGAGACAAACGCCTGTGGCCTCTTTCTCTTCGTGGCTCGCCGGGTGCCAGTCGGCGTCGTCGAGGGCCATCTGGGCGCTGGCGACGGCGTACTGGGCAAATGTGGACATGCGGCGCATCTCTGTGGGGTTCAGCCACTCGGATGGTCGCCATTGCTCTGTCGGTACGAGGCCGGCGACGCTGCTGGTCATGTCTTTCCAGCGCTGGCGCGGCTCGAGGTGGTGCAGGGTCGTGATGCCCGACTCACCAGCCAGGAGACGGGACCAGGTGGTGCGAACGCCCACCCCGAGGGGCGTGATGGCGCCGAGGCCTGTCACGACGACACGTCGCATTATCCTGCCATGCCAGAGTTCTCTCTATCTTTCGAGGTGTGAGACGAGCCGAAGAGGATTTGGACTGAAGAGCTCTGAGGCGATTGCGTTTGCCGTGTAGTGCCTCTCTTTGCTCACAAGCAAAATAGGTACCTTCAGTGGCAGGGGACGTCAGAGCTTGAAGGTCGATGGTCAGGGATGAGCTCCGGGAAGGAAGGAATATGCTAGGCCCGATTCGGTCGAGTTTCAGGTCTCGAACGCTACAACCGAACTAGACACTGTATTGACAGTGGCCAGCCCGTGTTGAATCGCGGCCGAAGACCCCTAAAAAGCTCATCTGCACAGTGTGAAACATCGGACACGTCTGTGGAAGGGGCGGTGCTCAGCTTCACCTTCCCATCTCATCTTACCCAAAAGCACCACGTCGTCTGTCCCGATCATCGTGCTGCGACTCTACTCAAGGCTTCCTCTTCAGCCATTGAGTATCGTTACCTTTGAACACCACCGGCATGTTCTGATCACATCTTCGCATACATCTCTGGCAGAGCTCCTGTCCACGACTCAAGACCTAGGTCCAAGCCCAAGGCTTTAACCCAGGCCACGTTTCGTCCTCATGCGGCTCGAGCCATACACACACATTGACCACACCTCAACTTAAACCAATCGAACACTTTTCTCTCAGCATCGCAGCTTCGTTTGCAATCTTGAACGCGAACCACATAGATCTCAATTGCCGGAGAGGACAGCCTCTTCTTGCCGATTCAGAGTCCGGCATTCTGTTCTGCTTGTATAGACTCCTTCGCCCATCACTTGCCGTCTTCTCCGCCATACTCACACCGACGATATCATGGCCACAGTGTAGAACGCGACGTACGTAGCCTTCCAGACGACGAAAGCACCACCGCCACCAAACCTTGAGCACCGCTTTGGCGACACGCCCACGGCGCGTGGTACCTACAGCGCAGCCTTCGCCACGACACTCTTGGCTCCGAACACAACAATCACTTCATTCGTGGCTTCTGCGACGCCGCGAACTATACTATTAGCTTTTTCCACCACTTTCCCCCTTCCTCGCCCAGAGCTTAACAGAATCACCCCCCCATTTAAGCCCACTGCCTTCCATGCCCGCGGGGAAATCGTCTCGTTGTATACATCTCCCATCCAAGTGGGACGCCTATCATGGCGCGAACTTCAAGCAGCCGGGTGTCCAAGACAGCCTCTGGTGCTGCTGCTGAGTACGATGACTACGAGATGACCTCCACGGCCGAGGCTGCAGCAAGTGGGCGTGAGACAGACAAGAGCGTAGGCCTGACGGCCGCCGGCTTCCAAGAAAGCTCCGGCCCCGTCGGGGACCTACAGCAGAGTCTCTCGCAATGGGGTGAGTCAAGAGCATTCAAGGGCGACGTGGGTGATGATGATGAGCAAGCATCCGAACATGAACTTCTCTTAGATCCTGCCCTCCCCGAGGAGTACGACGCGCGACCAGGAGCCCAGCGGGATAGTGTGGCCGACGACGAGCTCGCCATGGACAAGGAGGACGAGGAGGACTCTCCTTATGCCGAAGTCCGCTCCGCCGTTCGAAATTACGATGAGGACGCGCCTTGCAACACCATACGAGCCTGGACAATCGGCTTGCTCCTTGTCGTCCTCGGTGCCTCTATGAACACGTTCTTCTCGCTACGCTTCGCCGTCCATTGGCATCAGCCCCCTCGTCGCTCAGATCATATCATGGCCCATGTGCCATGGCTGGACCAAAGTCATGCCGACGAGACGCTTTTGAGACCTTTGGCATCCGCTGGAGTCTGAACCCGGGTCCCTTCAACCGAAAGGAGCACTCCATCATCGTTGTGATGCTAGTGTTTCCTTCTCAGTCGCCTATGCTACGGACATTATCCTGGCCCAGCTCGTCTTTTACAAGCAGGATTTTGGTCTCACCTTTCAGATGCTGCTAACCATCTCGACGCAATCCCTGGGATACGGCATTGCGGGTATTCTGAGGAAGTTTCTCGGTATGATTTTCTCGCCGCCCCTTACCCCTTGTGCAAGCATCCCGGCTGACCTCGCAGTTTATCCCGCGTCCATGATCTGGCCCGGCGTTTTGGTGTCTGTGACCCTGATGAATGCCATGTACGATCGCAGCGACAGACCCGACCCCTCTATTCTCGGCGGCAGAATGCCGCGCTACAAGTGGTTCGCGCTGGTCACTCTGGGAGCGTTCTGCTACTACTGGATTCCCGGATACTTTGTCAAGTGCCTGAGCGTGTTTGCGTTTGCGACTTGGATGGCCCCCAGAAACCCTGTTGTGAATCAGCTGTTCGGTGGCTCGACAGGTCTCTCACTGTTGCCTCTAACATTTGATTGGACGCAGATTTCGGGTTTCGTTGGTTCTCCTTTGATTCCTCCCTGGTAGGTCATGCAGACACCTTCGCCGCAGTTGCCGAACATTTTCTGACTGTTTTCAGGGAAGCCATTGCCAACACGATGGTCGGCGTCATCTTCTTCTTCATCACCTTGTGCTCCATCTTCCACTACACCGGCGTCTGGTACGCGCAATACCTGCCCATGAGCGACTCGGGCACCTACGACAACACCGGGCAACGGTACAACACGAGCCGCATCCTCAGGCCCGACATGACGCTGGACGAGGAGGCCTACAAGAACTATTCGCCTCTGTTCATCAGCACAACGTTTGCCATGTCGTACGGCCTGTCGTTCGCCGCCATCTCATCTCTTATTGTGTACACATACCTGCATAACGGAAAGCAGATCTGGCAGCAGTACCAAAACAGTGCCAAGGAGAAGCCTGATGTTCACATGAGACTCATGAGGAAGTATAAGGAGGCTCCAAGCTGGTGGTATTGGTCTCTCTTCGCCGTCGTAAGTACACAAACACCTAGCTAGCGAGGTACGGGGAGGGGGGGCTCCAACGTTGACGAATATGCAGATGCTTGGTCTAGGGTTTGTGGCCGTTCTAGGATACCCTACCATGATGACCTGGTGGGCATTCCTGCTGTCCGTGGCCATTTCCTTCTTCTTCTCAGTGCCGATCGGCATTATCCAGGCAGTCACGAATCACCAGATCGGCCTCAACGTCATGACCGAGTTTGTGTACGGATATATCCAGCCCGGCCGACCGCTGGCGTTGATGATGTAAGATGGCCCACCCATCTGTCGTGCGAGGCATCACTCTGACCATAGTACAGTTTCAAGACGTTTGGCTACATCACCATGTCTCGCGCGCTCAGCTTCGTAGCTGATCTCAAGTTTGGCCACTACATGAAGATCCCACCGCGCACCATGTTCTGGGCCCAGGTTGTGTCGACAACAGTCTCGTGCGTCATCCAGATCTTCGTCCTCAACGGCGCGCTTCAGCGCGTGGAGGGCGTCTGCACTCCGGAGCAGGTGGACCGCTTCACATGCCCCGGTGCGCGAGTATTCTTCGCGGCGTCGGTCATCTGGGGTCTCCTGGGCCCGGCGCGCATGTTCTCCCCCGGCCAGATCTACTCGGGCCTCTTCATCTTCTTCGGCGTCGGCGCTGTGGTGCCCATTGTCATCTACTTTGCTGCGAAGCGCTGGCCCAAGTCGCCCTTCAGCTTCCTCATGGCGCCACTCATCTTTGGCGGTGCCGGAAGCATCCCGCCGGCGACGCCGCTGAACTATCTCAGCTGGGGCATCGTGGGGATGACTTTCAACTACTGGATTCGCAAGCGCCACTTTGGATGGTGGTCGCGGCTGAACTTCCTGACATCGTCGGGTCTAGACCTCGGTCTGGCGCTCGCGACGCTCGTTATCTTCTTCGCGCTATCGATGCATAAGATTGAGCCGCCCAAGTGGTGGGGCAACACTGTGTACAAGGAGACGATGGACTTTAAAAATGAAGCCATTCAGGCCTTCGTAGGTGAGGGGGAAACGTTTGGTCCCCGCTCGTGGTGAGTGGGGGAGGCCCCGGCAGCGTGATGCACGAGGGAGGAGGCCGCGGCGAGGTGGAGCGTCTGCATATAATTCTTCATTCAGGGGTGCCGGGGATGCGTGGGAGGGTTTTCCGGAGGCGCGTGGATGCGGTCTAGAAGTTGAAATGTACGTATTCTGCCGGTTCGTCAGACCCCACGGTTGAATTGGATGTCCTTGGCAAGAGCAAGGCAGTTGAAAGCGTGTCAAACATGAACATGCAGGGTGATACTGTATGATGGTAACCTCTCCCCCCCTTTTTTCACCCCTGGCCAAGCGTCCTCAGCCTTCGTGTTGCTCGGACGCCAAGCAGCGTCGCATCTCGCTGGGTCGATCAGCGCCATTTCTTCCGTGGGTGAGCATGGGGTAAGAGAAGACTCGAAGAACAGGCTCCTTGCGCGAAGCACCGCCGCTGTCGTGGGCCACATGAAGCTCTCCCATAGTGCATGTTTGCGCCTTAAAGAATCGCGCACTTTTTTCTCTTCCATTCATGTCCCTTTTCCCTCTTGTCTCGATTCCACCCGTTCGTCGCAAACATTGTCAAAGATTGCCTGCGCTTGTCCGCATAGTGCACATCCCACAACCATTCTCCACACATGCTGTCATCCTTTCTCTCCAGGACGATGTACATGTATCCCTCACGCCATACGCACGCGCCTACCAGCCCCATGTGAGAAGACGATTTCCTGTCAGTGCCATGCAGACGCGCATCAGCAAGCCTGGCGCATTGCGTCTCTTCAGCTCTCTGTGGACATGGTGGTCAGCAATTAGAAGTAAGCTGCAATCCCGACTGCATCTCCGAGGCCGGTCTGTGCCTGTTGTTTTCCTTTTGCTCAGCCCGCTTCCCCCCCCCCTCTCTCTCTCTCTCTCTCTCACAAACACAAACAAACAAACCTCTCCTCTCTGTAAGACGTTCTCCAGCGACGAATACGTGTATGTTGGATAGGAAAGGAGGAGTGGGGCG